TAAATAATGCATGAATCAAAAACATAAGGTACTGAAGCGCCTGGCTAGACTGGAGGTGGTAGAAGAATATCGAACAAAATGATTTCAAACTTATAACCTGGGACAGCAGACCGGGCTCTCTCACCAGACTACTGACCAGGCATTTTTGCCTCAGTGCCCGTAACACAGGGATGATTATACTGAACTTTCTTTCCAGCGCTTTAAGATCTCTCACCCGAGTCTGTAAATATCAGGTTACACCATGCAGTCCGTACGCAGGTGTAGTACTTACACAGCTCGAGGTGGTAGGAAAAGCACAGGTCTACCAGCATCAATGCACCTTCATTAGGGAGCTCTCAGTTTCTGAATCCAGATAATTAAGAGCAGAATAAAACCTGTATAGCTTTACAAGTATCATCTATAGGTTCCCTGATGACCTCTCTTGTGATGCCCTGCTTAGGAACCCCCACTCCACCCGCTGCCTGGCCCAGCTTAGCTCGTGGGTTTCAAGGAGCTCACAGCCCAGCTGTGATGCCTCCCAATCACACTGCGTTGCAACCTCTTCTCTACGCCTTCTGCAGGGAACTGCATGAGTGAGTTCATGGGGCTCATCAAAGGCCACTACGAAGCAAAGGAGGAAGGCTTCCAGCCTGGAGGGGCCAGCTTGCACAGCATGATGACTCCTCACGGGCCAGATGCTGACTGTTTTGAGAAGGCGAGCAAAGCCAAGCTGGAGCCTGAGAGGGTTGCAGAAGGGACCATGGTAAGGAGCCAAGGGAGCCAGTAAGGTTTTGAATACAGCATGGCGTACCGCGGCTGTGCCAGTCTCAGTACAGCCTCGCTTCTTGCTGGCAAGTTGGACCAAACGGCTGCAGCAGTCACCTCCGTTACCGATCAGCACCATTCAACTCCCAGGAGCTCCCCCGGAGATACATGATGCCAGGCAGCTTTGATCATCTGCCCACATAAATTGTTGCCTGAGCAGGAAGCTGGGAATTTTCATGCTGATTAGTTTAATTTTTGTCTTAGCCTATGGACAAAGAAACGAAACCCCTGACTGTCCTCCTTCCTCCACCCCCTGAAATCTAATGATGATCATCAACAGAACTTGAACTAGAGCTTTTGGAACAACCTGGCCTCCCTGTGTATGCAGGGAATCCAAAGTCACTCCTGAGACCTGGTTAATACCGGCATTGCAATGCCAGCTCTGAAGAGCTTTCTCCCTCGGGTTGATCGGGCTGGAGGCAGAAGTTGGCAGGGCTGGACCATGCTTGTGGTAGAGCAGAGCCACCTTGCCTGGATGCAAACTCTTGCTCTCTTGCCCTAACCTACCTTCCCTTTTCCCAACAGGCCTTCATGTTCGAATCGTCCCTCAGTCTGGCTGTCACCAAATGGGGTCTCCAGACCTCCAACCGCCTAGATAAAAACTACTACAAGTGCTGGGAACCTCTGAAGAGCCATTTCAACCCTAAGCGCAAGTAAAGAGAAGTATTTGTTGCTTGCAATACGTGAGTGAAGACAGGGAAATCCAGCATACCTACATGTGGTGGCACAGTCGACTGGGGCAATGCAGAGCGCTCCAGCACAGAACGGCATTTCCAGCAGCCACTGAGCCACGAAAATTATCATCCCTATGTAACTTGGGAAATGCACTAAAAACCCACCATTATTCTTAACTTTCAAGTATCCAATTAAAGCTTTCCTGGTGACACGCTGAAGCTGAAGTACTAGCGTGGCTCTCACTATGTGTAGTTGGTGTGAATGCTGTACCTTGTGCGGACACAAGGTAACAGCAAGCCCCTGTTCACAGGGCCTCCTGAAAACACGACCTGGTGCGTCTTTCACAGGGAGAAACTAGGGATCAGTAAAGCATTTTATGCTGCCTGCAGGGGTAGAGCTTTCCAAACAGAGCTGAAGGCTCTAGCAGACCTAAGTCTCCTATGAGAGCAGGCCATGTCAACCTGCTGCTCTGTGGAGAGCTGCCAAGGAAAGACTTGACTGTCAGAAAAGTAGACCGCAAATTAGAAAAGGTTGGAGAATCCAAAGCGCTTCACTGCTAAGTGAGGGAAAGTTTCCTTTCCAACCCCACGCTCTGGCCATCCTTCAACATCAACTTGTTTGTCAGCACTTGACAAATTCTCTCCCCAGTTAAGTGCTACTTTGCAGCATAGCGAATGCGAAAGGGCTTGTCTGGCCAGTCCAGGCATTTGTTTCTGGGAAGGTACCTGGAAGTGCAGACAACATCGTGGAGGACCTCAAAAATTCACTGGAGTATGCAAGCCTCACCCCCCAGGTGGTGAGTTCCACAGGGCGGAGGCAGAAAGCGAAGACCCAAGTAGGCTGGGAACCAGGAGCACAGCCCAGGCACCCAAAACCTCAGGCCTGTGCTTTAGCACATACCTACGTGAAACAGTTACTAAGCTTGGTGCCATCAGGATCTATGTTTCTTATTTCCCAAGAGAAGCAATCCTCAATTTTCCAAAAGAGAAGGAAATGTAGAGCTGCAACACCTAACTTTAGTCAGTTACATCCATCATCGGTTTTGGATCTGCACCAGATCCTTGGGGAAAAAAAAGCATCAGCTTTGAGCAAAGTATTACATTATAAAATCTACAGGGAGATGTTTACTCTAAAATAGCCAGCTCAGAAAAGGACATTCAGGACAATCAATTTGCCAGAAAAGCTGATTTAATCAGACTGATCCAGGGATAAATGAGGTCTAAATGTTTCACAGGCAGAGGGGAAAAAGCTTGTTTTCTGTTTGGGACCTAAATTATCATCCAGTGACCTGCAGGCTTGAGTTTCTCTTGCTATAGACTCGTCACTGAAGCAGACATGGGTGGTAACATCAGTCAAGGGTAAAATTCCATGAGGCACACTCACTCTCCTGTCTTCACCCTACATTTCTGAAGGGAAACTCCCCTTTCCTTCCTCTATGCACCCAGCACCACTGCCTCAAACCACCCACCCCACCTCCAGTAGCACAGCACATTCGTTCCTTGCAAGGAAACAGCTTGGAGAGTTCTGCAAATAACGAGAGAGAACAGTAGGGCAGCCCTTCCCCAAGCACCACATTCAAATCTGCAGGGACATAGCATCAGACACTCTCATCTGCAAAGGAAAGGGCTGTGGCAGGTGCCACGAGCATCGATCTGAGGCTGGCCTAAAAGACTAGAGGTGCTGTGCTCATCCACAACCCATCCCAAACCATTTGCTCAACTGGCCTGAATCAAATACAGCTGCAAGGGAGAATTTACATGTGTGGCAACTCAAGTTCCAATTAGCTGAGGAAATTGGTCCTGGGAGATCAAATTAGTTTGTGGCAGCAAGAAGATAGTTAATTTAGCATGCTCCGACAAGCAATTATTTCCTTCCCTAACGACCACTTTCTCTACGCATTGATGTCTCTCTCTGCACTGACCCACAGCCGTATCTTGTAATATCATTTGTGACAGTCTTTTAGAAGCTGTTCTGCAGAGAGAATAATCTGGTTTGCTCTAGTTAAGTTAGCAGAAGAACAAGCTGCAGAGACAGGTGCAAGGTGGTTGTTGAGAGCACATACGGCATAGCAAAAGCAGGCCACGGCTTTGCACAGCTGCTGCACAGAGCCCTAATGCCAAGTCCCCACCGCCTGAACATTTCACAACCCAGACAGGAAAGGGAAGAGCTACAACAGGAAACACTTTCTTTAAAAAAAAAAAAAAGAAAATTTTTTAAAATAATCAGGAAACACATTTTTACTGTGAGAGCAACTGAGCACTAGCACAGGTTGCCCAGAGAGGTTGTGGAGTCTCCATCCCTGGAGATACTCAAAAGCCGTCTGGACACAGCCCTGGGCAGCCTGCTCAAGGTGGCCCTGCTTGAGCAGGGGGTTGGATCAGATGACCTCCAGAGCTCCCTTCCAACCTCAGCCATTCTGTGATTTTGTGAAAAAGCTCATCAACTCACTCTGATGAAGAGGGACTGCAAATGGCCCATACTTGCATCCTAATCATGCAGAAAGGTACTTAGCAGAGCTGCTCTTGCTGACTTCACTGTCAAAAACACAGGCTGCTTTCCCAGCAGGCAGAGGGAATCCTTCAACTTTTGCATCAGACCGAGTTTTTGGCATCAGCCTCAACATTTGGGAAGAAACCGTTCCTGTACAATGTCTGAAGAATGAGGGTTGTTTGGATCACGATGGCACCTACAGGCCGTATGAAAATTCAAGTCTGAATTAAAAATCTTTTCCTTGCACCCACATTTCAGTACTTTGGCAGTAACAATTCCAGAGCCCCCCATACCAGTTGGCCTGGGCAGCAGAGACTTGGGTTTCTATAAGAATAAGCAGAGAAGACATCTTTGCAGGCACAAGGTTCAGTTACACTTTGCGGTTGTTTTTTTTTTTTTAATCATGGCCCATTTGCAGGGGTGAAATGGAATTCTCCTGTACTGTAAGGGAATCTGTGTCAAAAATAAAAATCCTTGTATTTTTACTTCTTGTCTCCCACTCACAGGAATCACAGAATTAGTGGAAATGCTAGTCACATATAGCACGACAATGTTCAGCCCACTATTTCCAAGTCTGGTACGGTAATTTTGTCCAGGAGCTTATTGCAATAAACAAATGCATGGTTTAGGCTTGTATTTTATTAGGGGGGAAAAAAAGTTAACTCAACTTATTGAGAGCAGTCAGGCAGGCTCCTAAAGTTATTAAAAATGTATTGCAGAACTTGCCTATTATCCAATTAGGGCAAACTACATAGTCAAACCGACGCCAGGAAGAAATACCTAGTAGGCAAGCAGTAGTTCTTCAGGAAGCTGCTTTGGGCTTGTTTAACATTTTAGCCTGCTACTAATTTTAAACTTCAGCCTGTGCTGCTCTGACAGCAGCAACTTCCACAGTTTAAAAGGAGCCTCTGCATGTAGACCAAAGGAGTACACTGGTTGAGTTCAGGACATCCTCTTCGTATCTATCTGCGTTAGATATGAAAATCCTGCATTTTTGCACTTTCCATAATTGTTAAAGATGCAAGACAACCAATGATCAATTAAGATTTATTCTTATGAAGGAGAAACATCAGCACACAATACATCTTATTTTACTTCTATCCCATGAACAGCATTGCAATTCCAGGAACTTAAAACAAACTGAATGGTCGCTTGTATTTACCTTCTTGGATAAGCTTCTCTTTACGATCCTGTGGAAGAAAGGGAACATTCATCATTATCCTATTAGAGAAGAAGTTTCAATCAGCCTGGGATAAGAGAACAGCAGTTCTAGTATCTCAGCATGGACTACAGGAAGATAGCACCACATATGAATCTTAAGCATCTTTTCCAACCTTAATGATTCTATAAGCGCAAACTCTGGTAATAGCTGTTGTGGTTAAAAAGTAAAAAAGAATAAGGCATTTAGCCTCACCTTCTAGCTAGGAAGGCGGGCTCAGATTGACCTCTCTGCACATCTATCCACTCTCACAGGCCAGCAGAGACCAATTTCTGTCATGTATTTTTCACCAAACTAGTTGCGTCAGTTAGTTTCTACATTTAGTTTCTACCTCCTCCTTCTGGCTGAATAATCCAGTTTAGAGATCTAATTATGCAGAGACTTCTTAATAACTTGCTTAAATGCGCCTGTGTTCACTTTCAGCCCATTTGTATCTTACTCTGCAGTCATGTACCTTTCTGACAGGTATTGTTACAGTACACAGACACTGCAGATACTGCCCAGATTCCTTCTGCTGGATAAAACCAGAAGACTTCCTTAAGACTTAGCAATTTATCTTTTGCTTTCCCAGACACACAACAAACATTCCTCAGAGAAAAGAGTATAATAGTTATTGTGCTTTATATACTACCAGAAAACAAAGAAAAATCCCCAAACATCAGTAAGGGAACTGGAATAAAGGAAACCAAACTGTCCTGGAGACTACATTAAAGACTTCAGCTTAAACATTCCCAAGCAAGTATGTCTAGATTTCACTCACACAACTTTGTTTTCAAGCACTCACATGCTAAGCCCCACGTGGTGGCTAAGCCCCACTTGGTGGCTTCATGTACAAAACCAAACCAGCATGACAAAATACTGCAGAGATGTTGAAGTCTCAATAACATTTATATCAACACGCTTGATGTGTTTCCTAAAACCTGTATTTTTGATTCATTCTAGTAAACAGCATTCCCTACAAATATTCTATTAATTTTAATTGATGTTTGTGCTTCCCTGTTTATGACTTGATCTAAAAATGCTACTTTTGTGCAGAAGAGGGAGATAAAAGTGTTTTACAATGGCCACAAATTCACTAGTAAAAACAGCCACTGTCTGCCAGTCACTTAGCATTTTCTTATGTACCTATATAGCTGAGTATTTTCAGAATGATCTACCATTGCTCAGATTCTGATGCCCGCATTTCAGGAATCAGACAAGAAGCAAGAGAAACCTTCCAAAATCTTAAAAATCCAGCTGAGATCAGGCACTCTAATCAGCATAAGTACTCCTCCCCATTTGCTTCATGAGATAAGAGAAACGGTCAGGCAATTCACAGAGATGTTGCTAGGTATGTCATCCATAAGCTCCCTATTTATTTATTTTAGAGAGCGCAGTTACTGCATGTCAACAGCTGAAAATAATAGTCTCTTACAATTAATTTACAGTGTCAGTGCCACAGAGAGCTTTATTATAGCAAAATATCCTGATCAGGGAAACTGTGACTGGCCATACCCAAGGGTACAATACAGGGCTCTTAGCACAAGAGGACTTTGCAAGCAGTTATGAGGCTTTGAGATAGTAGGCTCAGTATCAGCCTTACTTTCCTCTTTACTTTAATGGCATTAATCATTCTTAGGTGCAAGAGGATCCCACCAATTAAGACTCCAGGCAGATCTACATTTTACAATGCTCAGTGCTGTAAACTGACTTACCCTGTCAGCTTTGAAGACAGCAGCCCAGAAGAGGATAGGGCCTATCGCAAAAAGAGCTCCTAGAAAGGACGTCTTGGGTGTCGGGCGGAAAGTAGGGTAGACGTTCTGCGTCCTAGCATAGGCCCAGCGAACCAAGGCAGGATCTTCCTGGGTTGGAAAGAAAACCACAGTGAGGCCCCTGGCGCCCTGCAACGCCCACCCGACTCGGCGCAGCTCCGTTTGCCCCCGCCGCGGGG